CTGTCGAAGAGATGGCGGCATGCCAATATGCAGCCACCTGCAACTGACAGAAGTCAAACGTCCAAGAATCGAAGCAAACGGACTGAATCTAGAAGGACATGAGACCATTTGTCAGGGAGCGGATGCTCTCTAGGTCTTTCCTAGTCTGAACTCTATGCGAAGCGCGCTGAGATAAGCCGACGGGCGGATTGTCTGCGTCAAAGCACAACGCCCAAACTCGAGATTTTGTTAGTGCAATCGGGACCGAGGCTTCGTTGGTTTTGACTCGTAGCTCGTGAGCCGGCGAAAGAACAGACAAGCTTTGTGTTAGCCAACGCCATCCCGCACATGATGCGATTTGTTGCTGCGTTATAACGGAGGCATAGCCGTCCCAGGATGGTCTTGATCAGTAAGGTGATGAGAATCCGCCATCGATGGCGTAGATATCTCAGGTTGATGCCTGGACGGCATCATCTCATTACGTCGTAGAGCTGTCGTTCTCCCGATATGCTTGTTTGGTTCTCGCCCAATCCGACTCGTCCGTCGGTCACATTGTTCATGCAGAGTCATGCGACAACTTCGTCATGGGCGCCCGTGCGAGCCTTGATAGTTGGACCAATACCGCAAATTCTCCGGGTGACAGCGCTAAGCCATCGTTCCCTTCGCAAACGCGCGGAAGCATCTTCCTTTGCCGCAGAGAGTTTGAGCGCGGAGGTGGTTGAAGACAAAAGATCCATAACCTATAGGGCGAGAATTGCGATGCAAGCTCCCTAACTGACGCCTGCTTGCTCCACGCTATCGGTCGCTCGTTCTTCGCATGCGACTCATGTAGGCGGTACGGAGAAGGCCAATGTTGAGAGTACAACATAACCAGACCGTTGTATCATCAACAATTGCAGTGCTTTAGCCAATGGCTTGACAATGATCTTTTGCCAGGATCGTGCGCGTTCAAAGGTGTGACAGGCGAGGAGTGAAGTTCGATTCAACTTCAGGCTGTGTTTGCCCCACATACGTTGAGAGTCCGTGGATTTTGTGATACCTCATCGAAGGCAAGAGACATCCGGGTTGACGAAACGCCCGGGCCGTGTACCACATGCAGCACGTTATTGACCGAGCGGTGCTGGGGATGGCCACGATAATAGAATGTCTCGGTGTTTGTACAGACTGTAGAAGTCATTGGATTACTCCACAGAGGCCATGTTTAGTTGACGCTTCAAAAGAATCGTTTGAGACGATGGCGTCTCTGGGCTTGCGGGGTCAACGGAAGGAACTGATGGCCGGTCATCGGGACTTTGTCGGTCTGCTGCAGGCTGAGGGACGTGCAGAGAAGAGACAGGCATCCGTAGTATGGCTGATGGACGTGGCGAGCGAGGGCTGTGATAAGGTGACGGATGAAGCTGGCTAGCTCATCCGCGATGCTGCCCTCCGATAGGTCCATCACAACCTCACAACCCACGTCGTAGACGCATAGTAAGCGTCCGTGTGTTGAAAGTTGGGATAGAGGGCTGTCAAGGTGGGCAGGAATGAATCGCCAACTTCAGATGTCCACTGGCAAGAGGGAACACAGCCCGACGAGGTTGCATTCCTTTAGGTGAGGTCTAATCGCCTGTCGTGGGTTGCATGAACTGTGCTCCTCCACCTGAGGTGAAGACGAAATGAAGCTACACACCGTTGTACCAGAATCGACGGAGATACAGTAGGTCGTTTTGAATTCGGTCTGTGTCTTTGAAGTCGGGTGGTGACGGGCAGGTCGAGGCTTCAGAGATTGAGGATGAACGACTCGGCCGGGTCGACCGGCGGCGGGTGAGAGGACTGGGTGGAGGTGGGTTTCGAGACAAGCGAATGCTGCTGGAGCGACGGCTCATGATGGTGATGATCGGCTGGTCACCCACATGGCGAGTGGAGAGAGCCAGGCATTGGAGTCAGGAGGGCTGAATGCTAGTGCATTGAGGCCAGCTCCGGGATGGAAACGGGCAAGGCAAGGCGCAAGGCCGTGAGTCGTTGCTTAGTGTGTTTCTTGCTTCTCGTGTTGGGGTTGGTACCGCGGGTTGTCCAAGGCGAGGTCGAGGAGAAGGAGGGGCAAGTCAGAGGCATCTCCCTAGTTGAGAAGAAGCGGCAAGAACGAGTTGAGTCGCACTATCTGGAGTTGGAAACTGGTGCCGTTCAGCTGTGACGAACAGAGCGGTCCAGCCAGTTCAGTCAACTTGAGGCACCTCAAGTGAGGAGGAGGACACCCTTCACCAGCCCGACCTCGGTGTAAGTGGCCGACCCGACGTGACCTGGTCGGACTGGAGTCTGCGAGTGTTAGTGCGTGCACCTGCAGCGTTTCCCCTGTGCCTGTGGCTTCTAAGCCCAACGTGGACTAATCAGTTCCGTCCCCTTACCCTGACGTCTGATGCTGCTGCAACTTCAGTCTTCAAGAGACGGCAAGCAAATGACAATGACACTACCTTGTGGGAACTAGTGCGCATGACAGAAGGCAAGAGGACATGGCAACGCCCTCTCAGGAGGCAGTGATGGTGTCTGTGTGTCTCTTATTCCGGTAATTGTTCAGCGCGCGCAAGAGACGACCTACCCGGGAGAGGAAGAGCAGAGACTGAGTTGGAGTGTGTAACTCGGCTACTCCTCAAGTCTTGTTCTCAGGTTTATTCGTGGAAGCAGCGGGTTACATTCTGCGAGAGAATTCCCTTGTGTGGCAAGTAACGAGTGGCTTCAACCCACCGCAGTGGCTACCCAACCTGACTCTGTCGGGCGCGGTGTGTTCTAGTTGCAGCTGTTGATGTAGCAGAGACCCTTCACTTACCACCCGCCCTGCACCCAAAAAGGTTATCAGGAAGGCGATATGGACAAGCATCGCGGCCATCGGTTGCTCGGAGAATGATGAGGGGCGGGCGCTGGGAGGGGGGGGGGACCTAGGGACGGGTTTGCCATGTGGTGCACAGCAGACAAGTGTCCAGGGCCCTTCAGGGCGTTGCCGACTGCTAAAACAATCCAATCCCAGGCGGGCCAGGCCCGGCAGGCTCGCCAGTGTTCAGGACAGGTGCTGAGTGGTGGTGGTGGTGGTGAAGGTGGTCACTGAGTGGTGGTGGTGGTGGTGGTGGTGATGGTGGTGATGGTGGGTGGAAGCGGGGCTCCTTTCCTCGACACTGGAACGAACGACCCGCTTTTACTCGTGAACAGCAGCAGGTGCACCAGTGACCCAGTGAAGTACACTAAAGTGGGACCCCCGGTCCAAGGAACCTAACACTTGTGAAGTGGGGTCGCTGGATTTTAGGGTCCTTTCCTCTGTGGCTCCAGTGTCCGGGCCTGGCTAATTTGTGCTCGAGCCGTTTCAACTTGGGCGCCCACTGCCTCCTTCCCATGCATCCGCACCCCGAGTCGCTGTCGCACATGCACCATGAGATGCAGAATATGCATGCACACTTGCACATCTTGCCTCAATTGCATTACCTTATCCACACCTCTGCCATCCATCACTCGACAGCCACACAACCACACACACACACACACACACACACACACACTCTCTCTCTCTCTCTCTCTCTCCGTCTCAGTTCAGTCTCTGTGCCTGTCGCTCTCTCTTTTAGGCTTTTGGCTAGCGTGTAGTGTGTCCGCCGCAGTCTCGAGTTCAACTCGCACACCCACTTCTTCTGCCTCTTCCTCTCATCCACGCGTGGCCCTTGTCCTTTTCTGGTCTTCCACCCTGCCTGCTCTATTCCTGATTTTGATTCTTTCTCCGGCAGTCGGACGCCGCCTTCCTCGTGTTTCGCCCAGCTTGGCCGGGTGCTGGCAAGCAATTTCGCTCTGCCTGGCCCGCCAGAAGCCCAAAGGAAGCATCTTGGAAGCCGTGCCTCGTGCTCTTGCCCTCCTTCTACCAAGTATCTTTTGTAACTCGGACCAAGAGCGAGAACATCCCCGGTTCCTCCTCCACAAGCCTCAAGGGCATGTCATTGTCGTTGTCATGACCCCTGGTCCTGCAGTAGCTCCTATGCTGCACTAAGACGCTGCTGCAACCGCAGTGCAGACTTCAAGTCAAGCTCGCCTTAGCTTCCTCCATCACAGACACTGTACCGCACCCAAGTGATATCTTTCTGAGGTCCTCAACCAGATAATCGCACTCGCTGCTGCTGCTGCTGCTGCTGCTGCTGCTGTCTCTACTTCGCAGGGGACTTCTTCCCGTCTGCCCGATATATGCACTCTCGCACGCTATCTCATCCTCTCCCGTCCTGTCTTTTCACTTGGAAACTAAACCGGAAAGAGTACCTTAGCTTATCCAATCCCAAGCTCGTCACTCCTCTTGTTTCTCTCCCCCGTTCGCCCCAACTCGTGCCGTCCCCCACACCCCCTGGTCATATCTCCCCTCCCATGTCCCATCTCCCCTTCCCATGCTGCGTGCTCGACCAGGGCCCAGGGCCCATGGCCCATGGCCTCCCGGTCGTGGGACAGTCAAGGCTCCCTGTCAGAAAAAAACGGACAGGCCTGTAAGGTATATCGAAGCAACCGAAGGGGGCCCATGTCAACAGCAAGACGAGCTTTTTCCTTCTTCTCCAGTCTTTTCTCCAGTCTGGTCCTCCTCCACTGCATAGACATATATAGCCTCACTGCTCGACTTCTTCATCAGTCAGCGTGTCACCGTTTTACGATAGCGTGGGACCGGACCTATAGCTTGCCTGTCCTTGGCTATAGCTGTACCAGATCTCCTCCTGACCTGTACCATCTTCTCATCTATCTCTCACGCTCCCGAACCCTGCAGCCGCATCCTATCCTAATCCCTCCTCCTCCCAATGGCTCACATTGCAAGCTGTATGCTCGGTGTCGACGACTCTACGAGCTCTTCGTATATAGCGAAGCCACCCTCCCCACTCCCTCCCAACGAACCGGTATGGCCACCACTCTTTGCCTTCGTCACCTACCTACAACAATTACACATTCTCTACATTTGCTTCACCTTTTAGCTAACCACCTGGCTTGCTCAACCACAGACACAGACACCTACAGAACACAAGCCTTTCGTCTGGAGGATGCATCATCCAGAGACTCGGAAGTACCAACTCTTCCCAAAGGACCGCCCAACACGGCCGCCAAAGAGTCTCGACCCTGAGCAAGCTTTCGCCCTGGCCATGGGACAGCCCGAAAAGACAGAAAAGCCCTGCAGCAGCAGCGGCTCGCTGCGTCTGCGCATCAAGGAGCACAACCTGATCAGGCGGCGGAAAGTCAGCATTCCCGAGTTGGGCCCCATGACAACGGTGCAAGAAGTCCCAATGGATTCGCGTAAGCATCTAACTTGATTTGATCTTATACATGTTGCTAATACCTTGCTAGCCACGATTCCTGGAAGACCGCCCCTTCACGAGAGGTCTAACAGTGCTCCGGGACACCATGTTAAGCAACACAGATCAACGGGCTCTACTTCATCCGTAACCGCATACGACGTCGAAAGCAGCGGCAGCACGACGCCTGCTCGCTCGCCCGACCGCCATCAACGATCTGCTTCAGAAAACCAGACTCCTCGACAGCCCATCTCGCCGAAGCAACTCGCGCCCCTTGTCATTCCCACCCACATCGGCAACGTGCCTCGCCTGGCCAGGCAAATTTCGCACAACCGCATGCGCTCCGGCAGCAGTGGCAACGATTGTGGCCAGCTTTCTTCCCGCGCCGATGATTCTCCTCGATCGCAAACCCGCACTCCCTTCACGCCCTTGACCGCTTCAACTGCTCTCACGACTCCTCTGTCTGCATGCCCTAGTTTCCAATCCGCCACAACTCCCGTGTCAGCTCCCATCATGGAGCATCACCGATCGTCACCCAAGCCGTGGGAGAACATCACCCCGAGAGCGACGACCCCAAGCCTGCCTAGGGAGACTGCTTCACCTGAAGCTGAAGCTGCCCCTGCGAGACCTTACCTTCACGGACACAGGAGAGGACAGTCCGAGTCAGGTAGCATCATGGACCGAGGAAGGCCCAGAAAGCGCAGTGATGTGCGCAACAACAACGGCCCTCTTCTTAAGCGCAGTGCGTCAACTCGCAACAAGAGCGCCGAGCGCAAGGCTTTCGAGGAGCTTCCGACTGGGTGGAAGGCGAGCGATGCGCCTAAGCACATGGATCAGGAAGAGCTCGCAGCTCTTCAGAGGCAAGCATTTGGCCAGGCATCCAGATTTGAGATTCTGAGGAAGGAGGACGTGGAGTTGCTATCAAGGGTATGTGCAATGCTGCTAGTGACCAACTAAGCTGTTCCATTCGCTAATTTGCAGTAGGAACTTCGTCAGCTCGACGAGCGAACTGAGTACCTCCGCCGTACTTACAACTCACTTCGTGCAGGCCGTCGCAACTTGCACTCGCGCATTTGCCAGTATCTCCGCTCACCCCGGATGGCCAAGTTCAGCACCGACTCGATGCTCAAGCAGGAAGAAGCACTTGCTGAGCTTGACACGTCGATTGACGACTGGGTCAACAAGCTGGAACAGGCCGAGAACCGTCGCACACGGGTACGCCAAAAGCTTCTGGAACACGTTGCTGCCGCAGCTACCCTCCCTACTCCCGCGACAGCGGCCGCGAGCGAGTCATTGCAGCTTGCCATGGGCGTCCGGACGACTCCACAAGTGGGTGTTGGGAACATCTCCACCCCTCCCCGAAGCCCCACCAAGACTGCTTTCTCCTCCCACACCAGTAGTTCCCCTTCACCTCAACGCGTCGTTGCCCAGGTGCCCAGCACCATCGTGGAGCAGCCCATCATCGAGGAGTCTTCCGCCGCCGCCGTTGCCAAGCACGCTTCGACCTTCAGCCAGCGCCGTGCCGACTGCGAGAGCATCCGCATCTACGCCGACAGCGACGTCTACGCTCTCCTCGCCGACGTCGAGAACGAAATCACAAAGATGAGCGCCGCGGCGGTCCAACCCGAGCCTGCAGCTTCGGGAAATCTTTCCGATGACGAGGTCAAGGAGATTCACCGAGCTCGCAGCCATGAGGCCCTCAGTGGATCGTCTGCCTCGAGTGCCAAGAGTCCCGTCCCATCTACAAACGCACCATCGCCCACACCCAAGGATGACCCGGTTGACGAAGAGCCAATCCTCCTCACCAACGCCGTCTTCCGAGGCTAAGGAGCCAACCACAGCAGCTCCAATTCTATCCCATCTTGTTTCTCTTACAACTCTTTCACCCCAACCCCATTTCATTTTGTTTTGGCGTTTTTGAAACTGCGGCCCATTTGGCGCTTACGCTCCCTACGTCTCAAACGACTTGACGGCTGACCCTCTTACCATCCTTTCCGAGAAGCGACTTTGATTGCTACAAACCAAACTTTGATACCCGTCCGCGACGCTCCCTTCTTCACATATACTTGTTTCATAAACCAATCTACTATCCACACCACCTTCCTTTCGTCTCATTGTCGTATTTTCAACAACCTACCTATTCATCATCCATGGTCATGGTGCCTGGGGGCGTTATTTGAACTCTGAAAAAACAGGACCTGTCCCGGCTCCGGTGCGAGCGAACGCGGTCATGGCGCCGCCCCTTTGTTTTCTTGTTACAATACCATAGGTCTACCTTCTGTACTCAGCCTTGCAAAAGTCAACGGCTGCAATGTATTATCAAAAACAACCAGCACTCTTCCATTAGGGAATTGAGGCAATCAAAAGAATTTGAGCACACAAATCCTGAGCTATCATCATTGTGAAGACAAGCCAACTACTAAGTGCCCGCCACACTAGTTGGCCGCGAGTATCCCGGTAGCCGGGATGTTTTCTTTATTCCCAAATAACGTTAATTCAATGACACGACTGACAAATTCGGATCCACACGAAAAGCAAAGCTTGAGGCGGAAAAAGCAAACATGCCACTCGCATGGGGGAAAAACAGCCAACTACAATGACTTGCATGCCACGATACTCAGCTACGTAGCAGGCCATGAAATTCCGACAAGACTCTGCGAAAAGCTAGAACCCAGTTGGGGGAGGGAGGAGCGGACAAGTAGCCGCCGCGCACACAGAGTTTGGGCCATTACGCATGAGTGACGCGCTTTGTGTGGTCCGGATGTTCAATAGAGTTGGGAGCCGGGTCAGACCAGTCGCTGGCGCGGAAGAAAGGCAATCTTCTCGATTTTCTTTTTTTGGTGTTAGAAGCTCCAGCCCAGCCCAGCCCAGCCCAGCACCCAGCAACAAAAAAGTACAGTCAGCAGCAAGTGTCAGAGAGGATGAGGGGCGGCACACATCCTCGATGTCGATCCTACACGGTACACCTTGTTAATAGTCCGACTCGGTTCATGGCAAGAGGGGGAGAGACCAGACCACGCTTCGGAAACGTTTTCGTCCTGTCTGATGCGGGATCCCGGACCTGATTGATGATCTCATGGTTTGACGCAGTCAAGTCCCCGACTGGCGGCTGATCCGAGTGGATGGAGCTGCCGCGGCCGCGGCCGCCTGGCCGGTTTTCTCTGAAAACACGGGACGTTTCTTGAAGTCTTCCCCGCCCGGGTTTGTGGCGACGATGGGTAGGCATGCAACGGGCCTCCAACGGTCGACGGCGGCGGCGACGGCGTGCGTCACTGATCTGCGGCTACTTTAGTTCCCTTGCACTAGCAACCGCTGGACAGGATGTTTGAGGCGCTACTTTTGATAGAAACGTTTTGGAGTCTTTGTTTAGTAGCGTCGTTGGTCGCCGCCAAGACTTTCTTGTGTTCTACGGCCTGGTTTTGCTTGCGTGCTGGCCAGCCATTGAGATCTGCGAGGTTGCAAGCAAAAAATCTAGTTGAAATCGTGCCAAGTATGCGAGATAACCTGTAGAGTTGCAAATAGCGGCGATCGGCGGAATCCAGTGCTACCGTTGACGCCACAGATAGACTTGCCCAGACTGAACCTGCTACCACGCCGCCACGAGTCGAGAACGCCGCTGGAAGGCTCGAACGGCGGGAAGGCCGCCACTCCTTTTCATAGTTCGAGGCGACAGAAAACCACACCTCTCTGTCCATCGGATGCGGGCGGCGGGTATTGCACGCGACAGTGAAGGTTTACGTGTTCCTTGGTTAACTTAAGGCTCTGTTAAGATTGGACGGGATGGCACCACCCCTTTCGCTGTGCTGTGGCGGGCGGGCGAGTTAAGGTGCACTGGTAATCATAATCGTAAGCTTCAATCTATATTACCTCAAGTTTTGGGTTATGTGGTGCTGGATGTGGTTCCTGCCACTCAATGTCAGTCGCTTTCGATGGGGTATTTTCGCTGGATACTGCGCACTAATTCCTAATGGACTGGTCTGGCAGATTTGTGTGCTAGTGATGGCGGGATATGACGGCACGGCGGACGTCATGTTCAATATGGCAGCCGTCGTGCCGGTTCGAGCTAATGCGTTCTTGCGACGTGCCCTTCCGACATGCAGGACGGCGGACGGAACCGGGGGAGCAAGCCACTGGCCCGGGAATTTTCTTTTTTCCCCTTTGCCTTTGTGGGAGACGGGATGACAGAGACTAGGAGAAGAAAAGAAGAGGGAAAAAAACGTGGGTGAGATGGAGCGGCGTCGCGTCCGGATCCGGCACGGGTCAACCGGACGTTGAGTGTTTGAGAAACTCGGGACCCCTGTCGTGTGATTGTGAAGGGCCCTTGAGCTTACTTGCATCTTATCGGCAAGGGTTCAGAACGGCGATCACCGATTTTGTTTGGCCAGGAGGAGGGCCATATTGCCGGGGTCGACTGCCTGAGAGACGAGCCTGGATCAGGGCGCACGGCACAGAAACAGCGAAACACTGGTGCTGGGCATTTTTTTGGTGGTTTGCATCGTGAGCCTCGCTTCGTTTCTGGTTCAGCGGTGGATCTTGGGGCCGCAGACGCGCACGTTCTGACGAAATGCGCCGCTGGGGAGGAGACACACAGTTCGGGGAGTTTTTGGTAGACGGCTATTGTTTAAGCAGCTGTCAAGACTCCAAGCGTGCCCCGTTACCTTAGCTGAGAGCTTGTTTGAGAAAAGGTGACGGGGGTTCCGCCACCCGCGCAGAGTGGCAGGCGTGATGGGGGCCTGTTGCGGCCGAGGCGGGGCCAGAAATCCGTGGCATTCGGGGGCCTGAAGGGACGGATTTCTTGTCGTTGTGGGGCATGCTGTCGACAAGCTTGTTCTGGAACACGGGGGGCTGTTTCTCGTGAACGGCACTGTTGATGGTGTGTTTAGGGTGTGTGTATGAGCCCCGGACGTCGGACCCGAGGGTATCTCAGAGGTTCAAGCGAGCAGGAGCTTGCAGAGGCCGAGTTCCCATCGCCTCCCCAGCGTTCCATCCGTTGTGGTGGTCAAGACTCGGAAGGGGCTGTCTGTCTGAGACGGAGGCGAGCCACGACACGAGGAGGGAGGGGTGTTCTAGAAGACCTTGTAGAAGGGAAGTGGGGAAGGGGCTTTTCTTGCGTGCATTCGCGTAGATATATTTTGTTGCAGACCGGTGGAGGAGAAGACGAAGGAGGGCATTCGCAGAGGTTGAGGGTACCCAAGACTGGAGCGTCTGATGGTACCAACGTGTTAGTCCTTGCAGATCCTTGCGTTTTGGGGGCCAGCCGGGGTGGTCCTTGGTGGCTAGCTGAACAGGAGAGCTCCTTCGCGGGACACCGGGGAACTGTCGCTGAATCTGCGAGTGCAGGCATCGTATCAGAGGGGCGCGCTATGAAGCAAAAGACTTGTCGAGAAGGTTATCTTCGGAGCTTTGTTCTGAGAGCCGGGGAAAGGGCATTTGCCCCACGAGAGGGCGTGCTGTGGTTGTCACAGATAAAAAAACGAGGCGCCTCCGCTCAAGGGCAAGTCTCAGCGGCCTGCCTAACTTGGGAATGACTTCGTACAGCCAATCCTGACAATGTCGGCTTATGCCAAGTTATGCAGGCTGTCTTAACAGTGTGCCGACCGTCGTTGGTTTTGAGAACTAATGTTAGTGATCGACAGAGGCAGAGAAACTGTGGCTGACTGGTTCAAGTCTGGTGGCTGGAAACGTTGTTGGTTCTGTGTAAGTCGATTGACGATCGCCGCCATTTCCCGATGTGTCGCTGACCTAACGGACCAGGAACACCCGTTTAGGCTGCCTAGCAAAAAAAAACCAAAAAACCAATTAGCGCATACATCCGTCGATGCGGTAGCCAGAGGACTGGTAGCGAGGCGATTCGGCTGACGGCCGACATCTGGATCAGATTTGGCGTGGATATCCAGCTCAGGCTCGGGCAGACCTGACATGGTAGGAGCGACAGCGACCACCTCAGGTGCCTGCCTACATGTTCTTGCTTCTGCTGCTTCATTCTCAACCCGGCGAGAAGAACGACATGGCCCAGTGGTCAGGTCAGCGCAATCGCAGCGTCCTGGTGATCCATTATCTGATCGGTGTAGGCTAAGGGTTCAAGTGAATCCTTTTGATATTTCGATTTTAATTTCGTCTGCTTTTTCTTTTTCTCTTTTCTCAGTGAGATGTCTGCTGCAAAAGAAACGGAAAAAACGCGGTTGAAGATTTCCATTTGCGGAAAAGGTAAGTGATGCTACAGTCCGCTTGGACACTGAACCAAGACACAAGGGAATGGCGGCTTGCGATTTGAATGAAGTTGAGAACGGTGCTGTGGTGAGTGAGAGCACAAAAGTCCGCTGGCACACCTCCCAATTCGTCAGTATCGAACACGAGCTGACAGGCGGATAGACGCGTTTGGCTCATGGTTCGGCAGGGATGGCCCAAGAAGGCTGCCCAGGATGAGATGAACTGTCCCGGATGGATGCAGATGGTTTTCAGAAACAAGGCATAAGATTCAGAAGAGGAGGAATGTGAGTGCTGCGGCAACACGTTATTGCGACTGCTGGCAAATTGCGAAAACGAGATCCAAACATAGGCGTTGATTCGACGACGGTCGAGGCGCCTGCGTTCTTGAGTTCCTCTGGGCGGTTTCAAGCGAAGGATCTTGCCGTAACCTTAAGTCGGTTGTTGAGAGCAGTCTTCGGGGCTGAGGGCCAGGCCAGCTGTGATGCAGCCATGTTGACGTTTCTCGTAAGGCTAGATGTGGGTCATTCGACGACGATTGAGTGTATCTGGACACGCTGATGGAGCCATCCTGGATGCTGGTCTGCTCGTCATGTTGGATTTGAGTTGATGTAATGGTA